ACAGCCCTTCATAGCCTAGTCTCTAGGATAGAGAGGGCAATGGACGACAAAGATCTAGCTTTGGCAGCTTTTTTAGATATTGAAGGGGCATTTGACAATACACCTTTCGAATCTATTAATTCGGCAGTTCGCAACAGGGGCCTTGAAGACACTTTGTGTCGTTGGATAGATACCATGTTGAGAAACCGGACAGTAACAGCTACCCTTTCGGGAGAGACATCCAGGTGTAAGGTAGGCCGGGGCTGCCCCCAGGGAGGCGTACTGTCTCCCTTGTTATGGGGATTAGTGGTGGACGGCGCACTGGAGGGCCTTAATCGAAAGGGGTTTTATACACAAGGCTATGCGGATGACTTGGTCGTTCTCATAGTCGGGAAACATAATATTATCGTTTCAGAACTCATGAAAGAGGCTTTGAAATGGATAGATGACTGGTGTAAGGGGCAGGCACTGTCAGTAAACCCTGACAAAACGGTCGTAGTACCCTTCACTAGGAGAAGAAATTTAACTGGACTCTCTGAACCTATAATAGGGGAGAGGGGCATTACATTTTCCAGGGAAGTAAAATATCTAGGAGTGATACTGGATAATAAGCTTACCTGGAATGCGCACTTGGAAAAAGTGGTGAGTAAGGCGAAGCAGACACTGTGTGTATGCCGCCGCCTTATTGGGAAAACCTGGGGACTGAAACCAAAGATGTCACACTGGTTGTATACGTCGATAGTAAGACCCAGGATTCTTTACGGCGCTGTGGTATGGTGGCAGAAAACACAACAGACCACAGCGAAGGAAAAACTGAATAGAATTCAGAGATTGGCCTGTTTAGGTATAACGGGGGCGATGGCATCGACCCCGACAGCTGCACTAGAAGTCATGCTAAATCTGCCACCGCTGCATATAGTGGTGGAGAGAGAAGCGCGGCTAGCAGCATATCGACTCAGGAATAATAATGACTGGAGGGGTGGTTCCCACTCCAGGATCAAAGATACATCTATGTCGGAACCAATTCTTGGGATGGTATCCGACAAGATGGTTCCAAAGTTTCACTTCCACAAGCCATTTGAGACTCGAATAGAGGATCAAAGCGAGTGGGAGGAAAGGTTTAATACCCTGGAAAGGTGGAGCCTAGTATGGTTTACAGATGGCTCCAAAATGACCAGAGGGACGGGTGCAGGAATATATGGACTCAGACCCAGATGGAGTGCAAGCTACAGTCTGGGGGAGTTCCCTACTGTATTCCAAGCAGAAATCTTCGCGATAATGGCGTGTCTGGCAGAGAATGTACGTAGAGGTTATAGACGTAAACTCATATATATATTCTCTGATAGTCAAGCTGCAATTAAAGCTTTAGCCGCACACAAGGTAAGTTCAAAACTGGTGTGGGACTGTTTACAAATGCTGACTGAACTGGCCACCAACAATACAGTCAGACTGTGTTGGGTGCCAGGGCACAAAGGCATTTGTGGAAATGAGAAAGCGGATGAACTTGCTAGGAAGGGATCCGAGACAGTGTTCATTGGCCCGGAGCCCTTCTGTGGCACATCTCCCAGTGTGGTCAGGCGGGCTCTGGGCAAATGGACAGAGACAGAACATAGGAAATACTGGACTTCAAGGCCAGGACATAGCCATTCTAAGGAGCTTATGGAGTATCCTTCGAAGGGAAGAGCGAATGAGCTACTGAGCTTGAATAGAATCCGGCTCAGGAGAGTGACAGGACTCATAACGGGACACTGTCACTTTAGGAAACATCTACATAAGCTAAAGCTTGTAGACAGTCCGGTCTGCCGAGGATGTGAATCGGCGGATGAAACTTCTCTGCATATCCTGGGCGAGTGCCCGGGATTTGCACGTAGCAGAATGGCGCTCCTTGGGAGACCCTATTTGGAACCCAAGGAACTGAGAGAAGTGTCAGCAAGGAAGCTTTTGGACTTTGTAAAAAGGACAAATCTACTTGCTGAATAGGACTAGTAGTGGGACGCACAATAGGCCTAATTAGGCCGCAGTGCTATGGGACTTTTAAAGGACCAACCACTAGATGATGAAGAAGGAAGAAGGAAATGTGTCTTCAGTGAATATATCGTAAGAATTAGTTGGATGCACATTTCGAACGGTTCGGAACCAATTCCTGACCCCTGTTGGAACAGACCTACTATCACCACATTTCTCTTACTTCGTTTGATAGTGGCATATATTTTTCTATTTTGTCTTTCCTTTTCTTCTCTATATTTTCTTGAAGTGGAATGGCAATATCTATGAGATGGGTAACTTTTGTGTAGTTGTTGATTAGGGTGATATCTGGTCTGTTATGGTTTATATGCCCGTCTCTGATGATTGTTCGGTTCCAGTAAACCGTATGGATGTCTGTGTTTTATACGAAGGGAGGCTCGCATTTATAGTATGGTTGTATGATGCTATCTTCTCTGTCTTAGCGTATAACAACCATAAATTAGGGCAACCATAAATTATATGTTCTATGCTTTCTGTGATGGAATAGCACATTCTACACTTATCATGTGTGGAAGCCGGATCTTTAATTATAGCTTTTAAATATTTTTTTGTGGCAACCCCTCGGTCCATAAAGTCTTCCGTTTCAGAAAATATATTGCTGTTTCCTAGCCACGATAATGAGGCTGCTAGGTTTATGTGATCCTGGTATAGGGCATTAGAATATTTGCCATGTAAGGTTTTGGCTCTCCAAGTATGTATTTTGTCTAAATCTGTTTGGATTGGTTTTATATTGGGCATCTGCCAAATTTAGTTGTGGTAATTTTTTATCTTTTCCAATTATGGTCCAACGTATCACACTATGTTCTGCTTTTTTATAAAAGTATTCTCTCAGCTTATTAATGTGGGCTGTATGATATTGTATTCATCTTCCGCCTTTTGACCTAGGAAGATGAAACCTCTCTACGGAGCGTTTAGGATGCTGTATTCCGTATTTGGTACATATGACCCTCAGTGTCTTATTTAAGTCTTCTATTTCTGTCTGGGTCCATTTTATTACTCAAAATGTGTAGATAGCGACCGATATTGCATAAGTATTAATTGTTAATATAGTATTCTTTGCAAAGAGGTGGATGGCGAGTGTATTTTTTAGACGTGTTTGGATTTTTTCTTTTATTTTATGTTTAATAAGTTTGTGATTCATGACATGAGTTTGGTCTATGCCCAGATATTTATAAGTCTCATTTTGGCTTATGGGTTGTATTTCTGCTTTTGTTTCTTCTTTAGTTACTTTAAATCCTTCTTTCTCCATTCAGCACCCCTTTTTCATCCCATTTATGCGACATTTGTCAAGACCTAAAGTCATATGGATACTAAAGATTAATGTTATTTTTAGTAGTCGGTCAAGGCGTTTCCTTGTTGCAGCATACAAAATAATGTGATAAGTTCACCTGTTCTGCTAGATATAGTCTTCCGCTGAGTGTTTTAATTCATTTGATAGGGGATTTAGAGCTAAGCAAAACCATAGAGCACTTAGAGAGCCACCTTGGAAAATACCTCTTTTTATTGGTATTTTTCCAGCGTCTATTGGTGTCTCGTTTGGAATATTTAATTTCAGATACTTATGTTTTCCATGTTTTCATAGTTTGCTGGAGAAAGCAAACGATATTTGGGTCAATTTTATATATTTTCAGGACTTCAAGGAGCCATGAGTGGGGGACACTGTCAAATGCTTTTTGGTGGTTGATGTATGCTATATGCATATATTTTTTTCTTTTTACAATCCTCAGTTACAGTGGAATCAATAATAATTTGTTCTCTACATCCCTGTGACCCCCTGCATCCCTTCTGTTCTTCAGCTATAATGTTATTTTTGTCTAAGTGATATGTAGTGATAAAATGTGGGCGGCAAAAGTGCTGAGGGTTGACGAGGGGGTTGGGTTCATTTTCGGTAGTCTTCTTTGTTTGCAGCAGCCTAGAAAATGTAGACATACACAACCCACTCGACTTTGTATGAAAATTGAAACTTCAACCCCCATAAAGGGGTGTATGGGGGTGGTAAAGTGACGTTAGGGGTAACGAGGGGGTCTAATTCATTTTTGGTAGTCTTCTTCGTTCTTAGTGGACCAGAAAACAAAGGAATACTCACCCTACTCGACTTTGTATGAGAATTGACATTTCAACTCCCAGAATGGAGGGGGGGGGGGTAAAGAGACGCTGGGGGGTAACGAGGGAGTCTAATTCATTTTTGGTAGTCTTCTTCGATCTTAGTGGCCCAGAAAACATAGGAATACACTACTACTCGACTTTGTATAAGAATTGACATTTTAACTACCAGAAGGGGGTGTATGGGGGTGGTAATTGGGAAATGGTTAGTTAATTTTTTTTTATGGTCATATTCAGTTTCGGCGACTCCAAAAAACGGAGGGGTATGGGGGGTCTACCCTCCGGGTCTTCACTTTTTTTTTATGTGCCTGTGTAATCTTCGGCGCCTAGGCCAATGATCCACAGAGAAAAAAACGTTTAATTGTTTGATGCCCTGTCAGTTCCTGAACGTATGATATATTATCCAACACATCATGTATATGTTATTGCTTAAAAATACATAAAACTATAAATATATAATATATTACATTAAAAATGTAAAGTGGCAAGTTTTTGCTGGAAAGTTAAATATTATTATATTAATATAATGCCGAAATATAGAATATCTTTTAAATCTTTAATAAATAACAATATATTTAGGAAAGATAGCCTCTGTGGATGTTGTCTTGCATTGTTAAAAAAATGTATTGGTAAAGTTAAACCGTCCGTAAATCGTTAAATGGAAAATGTGTCAATTTGATGCAGATATATTGGTGACACTGTATATCTAAATGTAACGCACTGTGAGGCACAATAACAATTATGTAAAAGATGTATCTGCAGTGAAGAGACGTCTCGACGGCGGAACGTTTCGAGCGCCGCGGCGTCTGCGCAACTAACCGCATATTCGACTATATCGTCCCTTGGTTACTTCATGAATTTCATGCCGTTCAGTATTTAATAAACGGTAGAACATGTATATGCGTTGTCTCTTATTTTTAGTTTTATTAGTAACATGTGTGGTTTGATCTGATATAGAGGACCTGATTATTTGCCTGCGGTTAATACGGCCCAAAAAATGGGCTGTAAAATGTGGAATTCTCCGTTGGGTTAAACAGTGTTTCACTAGGCCGATCAAATAGATCATGGCCTTTCTTATAACCCCTTGGATCCCTCTGCTGTGGCTTATTGCCTCAAGTAAGTAATTCTGCTTCCACTAGTGTTAATAAATATTTATACCAATAAAATTCACATAGGTAGTGCAGGAAAAAGTCTTATTAAAGAATAAGAATACTTGTCAACAGCGTTGAAAAAAATAATTTCAAATGATGTGCTTAAAAACAATCACATGACTTTTTATCTGTCAATTTTGACATATTCAAAAAGTGCCGGAAGTGACATTATTTTCAGATTTCTTTTAAGTACATTTTTTTAACATTAAAAATGTTTTCAAAACATGAACTATATGTACAGTACTGTTATATATACATGGTGTTTGTAAATAATTGCGAAATATTTTAGGGTTTGGTTGCCGAAGTTATTTTGTGAAAAAAGTTCATATAAACGTAGGTCTAAATATGTTTCGTTTCCGAGATAGAGAGTATTTATAATTTTTTATGTATTTTTATTAATTACTTCGAAGAGTTTTAAAGATATTCACTCGAAATTTGAAAAACGCTTTGGAGGGATAAATGTGCATTTTCTGGGGTGATCGGAATATTTCTACTTGCACTGTTAAATAAAAGATTACCTACAATAAAATATGTTTTATTTTTTTCCTCAATAACGGTGGATTCTACGAAAAAAATTGAAGAGACCAATATCATTCAGAATTGATGGAGGATTTCTAAAAAAAAAAACAGGAAAAAGTCACTGGTGCAAGTAGAAATATTCGGATCACCCCAAAAATGGACATTTACAAACACCCTGTATATATACATATTTTCTTTTTTTCTGAATTATATCAATTGTATCAGTGTCAATTATGTCTTCAATTTTCAATTTCAAAATTAAATATTTTTCCAGTAATATAAGCAACTATATATAAAATATTTTAAAGACAAAGCCAATAAAAACATATATATTACATATTATTATTTATAATAATATATTAAGATTCCACAGTCTTCAAAGTATTTTTTCCAAATTTTTTTCAAATTATAAGAACTGTGGCCAATTTTAATTTTGTTGTCAATAATTCAACATCAGTTCCAAAATCCGCACATTCATAAACTTTTCATTTCAAATGCCCTTATAAATATAAATCTTCAAAAAGCAAATCGAGATCCAAGGTAGGCAAAAGTTACGTCATATCTATTTCCTATCAAAAGTATGATTTGGCAATTTACGAATGAGAGGAGTTGACCAGGAAGAATCATCATTGAAAATAAATTTGCCTAGTTAACTAATACCATTTTTACTACAAATTTAATATTTAACTTCATGTCGCCATTCTCGCCAGCAACGACGACGAAGATGAAATCTGCTAGATGTCTCTTGTTTTCATTTTTACAAAAATTCGCCACCAGTCGTACAACTAGCTTAAATTATCGAGTCTTATTTCTCATTTCAGTATCATCGTATCCACACATCACCACTGAAGATTTAAAAATTAATACCTATTATAAGAAAATTCTAGTTAAAATGCAAATAAAAGTTAATTTTAAAATTTGAAAAAAGACGATAAACAAAATAAAAAACTGCACTATATTTTTAACGATTAAATATTAAAATATATATGGAATAGTTGTACAAACAAAATTAATTATTTTTGATAATAATGTAATTGCTTGATTAAAATTTTTTAAAATACATATTAAGTATTTGTATAATTTTAAGTTTTTAAATAATTGACTTGTAATATATGTGAAAATTAAGATTCTTTTGAAAAAGTTCCCGATCGGGAACGAAACGTTAAATACAACAAATTTTCTGGTGTCTTCTTTTTTCATTTTTTAATAAGCCATCAAACTAGAACCCTATACCCAAGAAAATAAATATATCCAATTATACAGGATGTCCCAGAATAACATGTACAACGGAAGACCACATGTTCGTAGACTCAAAATAGGCAGATTTATCCGAAATCACTTTGTTGGGCCGCTAGATGACCTCAATTTTCGTGAAAATTTTTTGAATTTTGTAAATAATTCGAATATGTATTAATCGATTTTCATTATTTTTGGGGTGTGGACTTTTGCTTTCAATCTTTAAATTTTGATGTTATACAGAGTGTTTTTTAAAACTCACAACTACTACAAAATTGATGAATGGTGATATCCGTTCATAACTTTTTCCTCTTTCGAACAATAATGACAACTATTTTTTATTTGATAGGTGATACCATTTGGAAGTGTTTGCATCCCTTATAGCATTTTAATTAAATGAGCGGTTTTGGGTACAAAAAAATATTTTTTAAATGTCTACATTATTTTGCCACCCACATTACAATACTTAATAAAGTGCTAGTAGTCACTGATTTTGTAGGTTGACAGTAATTTCAGTTTGATCTTTAAGTAATTGTACCTGCCAATTCTTACTACGATAAGATATGCCACATGTTATGTTATGTTATATGTTATGTTTCATTTTTCGATATGGATACACACATTCGACGAATTAGAGTTATTTACAACGTGCCTAATTTTATTGAAATAATTCGTAAACAATCAACTAAAATAAAAAATGCTAGAGATAAAAGTAAAAAAGTTGAGGTTATTAAATTTAGTAAAACTTAAACTGTATAAAAACTGTTCAAAATGACCACCGTTGTTTCTACAACAAAAGTTAATTCGGCAAAGAATTTGTAGTTCATTTGTAGGCTATTTTTTTAAATATTTATGACATTTTGGATATGCCTCCACAATTCAGTTCAGTGTTAGATGTGGAATCATGCACTGTTGTTTTCAGAGTACCCCAAAGGGTTGCAAGAAAGAGAAAAGTCGCAAGGTGTTAAGTCTGGTTAACGTACAGGCCAGTTAACAGAAACATTATCCCCACTACCGATCCATGGACGAGGGAATCTTTCATTCAGATACTGCCGGACATTTACAGTGAAATGTGGTGGAGAACCATCATGCATAAATCACATGTTAGCTCTAAGCACATCTTCCAATAACTCGGGTTTTTCAAAAATTCTAAATAAAATTCCCCATTCAGTCTATTGGATAGAATAACGGTGTCAACAATAATGCTATTCGAAACAAGATCAAACTGAACAGTCAACCTACAAAATCAGAGCCTACTAGCACTTTGTTAAGTATTGTAATATGGGTGGCAAGACAATGCATAGATTTAAAAAATATTTTTTTGTACCCAAACCGCTCATTTAATCAATATTCTACAAGAGCCCCAAAAACTTCCAAATGGTATCACCTATCAAATAAAAAAATAGTTGTCATTATTGCCCGAAAGAGGAAAGTTTTAAAAAATACTGTATAATACCAAAATGTGTAGATAGAAAGCAAAAGTCCACACCCCAAAAATAATCTAAATCGAATACGTATTCGAGTTATTTACAAAATTCAAAAAATTTTCACGAATTTTGTGGCCATCTAGCGTCTAAACGAAGCGATTTGGGATATAGGTGATTTAGCCTAAATCTGCCTATTTTGAGTCCACGAATCTCTCTGTGGTCTTGCGTTGTACACGTTATTCTAGGACTCCCTGTATACAGGGTGTTCCACCTAAGAGGGATTCTTCTGCAATTCTGTAAGTGCAATATTTATAAAAAATGTTTTTTATAAAAGTTGCCTAGAATCATGTGGGCCATATAAAGAAAATATTTTTAGCTTTAAAGAGTGTTCTACTGCTACATAACTTTATTATTTTAAATGGAACACCCTGTATATTATTGCATTTTTGAATTCCTTGGTTAATATTAGGTAGAGTTTATTAAATGTACATGAAATTTAAAACTTACCGTTTTCGAGATAATCAGTTGTTTTTGAAAAAAATCACAATTTCAGCTCTCTAAATGAGGCTAGATAGCGTCTAAACCGTAAGAGTTATAAACCTGCAGTTTTTACAGTTAATTTTGACATAAATTACTCTATCTTGTCATCTGTGAGCAGAACGTGTACGTTATTCAGACTCGGAAATACCGAGACCTACATTTAATAATCTTACGAGTGGAGATTTTTTTTCAAATGGAATGACCTATATTAATTGTCAATGATGAATGCAAAATTGAATGCCCTTTCGACTGATATAAGGTTGTCCATACTAACCGTTTTCCAGAAAAATCGTGTTTTTTTCTAAAGTCCGAAAAAGTAGCTATGTATCATGGTCAAGAAGGCCTAATATAAACAAATGTTAAATATTTATTTGGATTTATTGATTCTTTTGGATTAATGACAATAAATATGAAAGCATATACAATATACATATAAACATATACAATATGGATTTAATTTGGATCATGTACTAACAATGACCAGGTTCCGAATACTGATTACTGAATGTTTACTGGATCGGTTTGATTTTCGGACGTTAAGTATAGTAGATTCGTGAGTGGCTCTGTTGTGGCGTCCGCCTTAGTGCGGCACCATTTCCACTTCTTCGATTCACCTCTTTTTCCATTTCTGAGTGTCTGGAACTAGGCATCCCTCTGTATTGGCTTTTATTGTTAATATTAAACTTATTCAAACGTGGGCCATAGAGAGTTTGGTAATAATTAAAGTGGCTTAATATTAATGTTTCCGCTAATTTTGTTTTAACTGACTGATGTATCAACAGATGTTTGTGAGAAAATAATAGGTTTAAGGCCATACGATTCGTGGAAATATGTATTAATCTAATTAAAATGTTAGAGCAACATCAGAAAATCTAAGTTTCGGGCTGTTTCGGTGGATTTCCGAAAAGTTTGGTATTCGAATCTTCATAAGTTGCTCCGGCCTATTTCTATTGTTATCAAAAATCATAAAGAAGACTTCTGAGATATAATTTTAAGAATATGTGAATACTAAACTGTTAAAATTTTCTTAAATGCAATTCTTCACAAACAGCGAATCATCTGGATGAAAAGAACAGTGCAGTTGAGTGTCAACCACGTAGATATGTTTGTAATATACTAGATAATAAAGATCCTAGAATTAATCCCTGTGAGACACCACAAAAACTTCTCACATCAGACTGACGACAAGCTGAACAAACTGATGACGATTGCTTAAATAAATAAATAATGCATTAGTTACTTT